AGAGAGAGACAGAGAGAGAGACAGAGAGAGAGAGACAGAGAGAGAGAGGGGGCTGAACTGGAAATAAAGGGCTGAATTCAGTTCAGTCTCAAGCTGGCCTCCACATGTTGTAGAAGTCCGGAGCAGCAGCAGGTTACTATAGAGCACAGACAGAGAAAGAGTTTATTCGTGAGTCATTTGCTTTTAGTGAAGTTACTGGAATGAGTCACAGAGCGGAGAATGAGAAGTACTGCATTGCTGTCTCTACTTGTATACATGCTAACTTTACTTTTTCTATCTGTTTACAGCGTTGCCCATCTTTCTACCACCATCTTTCTCCACTTGGTGAAGATGTAGTCTGTTTGATCTCCATGGAGATGTCTCCAAACACCGCCTCCTCTACCTTGTTGCCGTGGTCACTGTGGTTGCTTTTCTTCCTGACCCACGTCACCCAGACAACAAACTCCGCCCCCCTGTCTGAAACCTCTCTGTCGGTCAACACCACGCTGTTGTTCAACAGTGGCGCCCCGGGCTACAACCTGCGGAACTGCAGCTGCTCCGCACCCGTCCTGGAATGCGACGAGGCTCTGGCCAACTCGCTGTGCCGATGCCACACCGTGCTGCGATCCGCTCTGCCCCCTGCTGGGCTCAGAGAACCTGGACCACTCACTGTGTGGGTGAAGGAGCTCTGGGCTCTGGAGGAGTTGCTGAACCGGAGCATGGTTGGCCATTTGCTGTTGTCTTTTTGTGGAATAAAACCAATGGACAGTCAGTACCTGGCTCTGTTAGGTCTACAGACCCTCAGGATCCATAGTGCAGCCCCAGGAGCTCCCTACCCCGACCAGGAAATTACAATCTCCCCAGCAGCAGGGGTGGCCGTGGAGCTAGAGGCCCTCTACTTTGACTTCTCCTCTTCCTACCATGTGACCTTTCTGGATGTAGCAGTTCTCAACGGGCTCTCTGTCCTAAAGGCATACAGTGTTGTGGGACCACCTGCTCAAAGACTCTCTCAACAGTTCCCACACCTGGCCCTGCCCCTTCCTCTGCCATACTCTACTACTCCTGATGACCCTACGGACCCCAGTGAGCAGGCTGCACAGCCTCTGCACAACCTGCTTATTACGTTTGTCTACTAACTACAACAAGTTGCCATTCACAGGCATGGTTAGGTTTGGAGTACAAGTGACTAATGATGCGTAGGAATTATATGTGTTGTACAGAAATTCTGCGCATCATTTGTCGCTCGCTGGATGGGTTTTGTTCTCTTTTTGCACAGGCAAAGTTGTGTGTAGTATAATAACTTTCAGTATGACTGTCAGTCAGGCCCAAAGGTGTCTTTGAACAGTCAGAGACGATGCTTTGCTTTGTGCTAATCTTCTGGATCTGGAACACTTCAACACCACGGGTACACTATGTATTTACATGCATACATATTATCTCATAGCCCTGTAATGGCTTTATTCAGCAGTCTGCTACATACTTTACACATCCTGATTATCGGTACCACTTAAGGTTGAAAGCTGTACCCAATGGCTATTTAAATGGTTCACAAATCATTTGCTGATGCTTTACAGATCACAGGGCTGTAAACTGTGGCACTGTTGTGCTTTTACACTGTGCATTTTTAATTCACTACAAATTGAATATTTATTTCCTAACCGTGTTCCAACAACAGTTTGAATCTCAAATAGAAATTGACAACCCTAGTAGAGCAGGTAAGTCTTAAATAAGAGCAAGTTGTGTTGCCAGATTGTGAAGATATGGGTTCTTATCATTTGTGTTTGTTAATAATGCAGTTGTAAATGTTGATAATCCATTAATTAATGCTCATTGATATCTTACTTTCTAATAAGCCATATGAAGCATTGGTAAATGCTTTATTAACGATTAATAAGTTACATTTCATAAACTCTTTACAAGGGATGCTTTATCAAGCAGCATTCTCCTACCGATTATATATAATTACTTTTGAGTGATCTATAAAGCGTTGGTAAATGATTCATGAACCATTAACAAAGTAATTAGTTACTAAGTTTAAACTATTTAAAAAGGTGCCTTATATGAATGTGATACCCAAATATCTTTGTAAGGATGAATGACTCAATGGAGCTTATACAGGTAAAGTAAAAGCACGCTGTTAACTCAGTATTCAAGCTAATGTTGGAACATTCCAGCTATCGCATCAAACTTTCTAATCGTCTGGATGAGAGCTACTACCTACACACAACTCTTAAATGGAGAACTCAGAGGCTGTGGTTACACCTGACATTTCAACAATGTAAGATGTTGTTTCTGCATAACATCTTTCGATCTGCCACCTCTCACGATTGATCCAGCAGATCTGACGGCAGTGTGAGCACAAGCTGGTTCTTGCATACCCAACCTGTCGCCCAAAACGCCCTACCACACAGCGACTGATCGTGTGAAGAGTCACCGTAGCCACAACCTGCTTGAACAACATCCGAGTCAAACCACATGCCTGCTCCCAGAGAGGGACGAGATGTTCCAGATTCCTGCCAAGTGGGTGTTGGCTCTTTATCATCCACTCTGATCTCGGTGTTGTCAGATATCTGAGAAGCAGGATAGCATGGTCAGAAGGGAGAAAGCTTCTTTTGCACGCTGAACGGTTGCAGGTTATCCCCAGAACCATTTGCTTCTGAAGAACCCTTTTTTGAGGAAAGGGTTTTTCAAAGGTTCTTTGTAACACTTTTCATCAAAGAACCCTTTTGGGAAGAAAGAGTTCTTCAATAATTGTTGCAAGTATGGGTGTTATTGTTAACCATGACTGCTGTGGGTTGTGAGGAACTAGGTTCTAGATGAACCCCTCGGAATGTAAAAAGATTCTATGTAGAACCCACTGGGTGGGTTCTTGTTAGCACCTTTCGATGGTGGAATGGTTCTGGATATCACCTCCAGGGAGGCTTCTTGCTTAAACAATTACACCAGAGAAGGATTTTAGGTGGAACCTTTAAAAAGGTTCTACTAATAACCAAAAAGGGTTCTTCTATGGGGACAAGCCAAAAAAAACCTTCATTGAAAGAATAAAAACTAGAATAAACAAGTGGAGAACCAGCGGCATCCCATCCCTGGATTAATGGGTGAAATGATGTCTACCTTCTTAGGTTAAAAACAGGACACACATATCTAAACGGTTTTTAGATATGTGGGTTACGCAATCTGCATTTCTATGGGTGGATTGCAACACGTGGCAGTTCCCATGTTGAAATACTGCATGGTGCGGTCACAATGAATGAGGTACTTTGGGGAAGGGGAGAAAGCAAAATGACAAATTCCTGCTTCAGGGATCAATAGAGCATCATAAAAACACGATGTGCTGTGGCAGCTGACTGCAGTGAACATGGGCTGGAACCAATCCAACAAATCCAGTGTGGAGTCAGAGTCTGCACCGGACATGGATGATAATAGTATGCCTGGGCGGGATCTTTGACTGTTATGCTACTTTCTTGAGAATATTTTAAAAAGTTAATTATGGTTAAAGTTGTCCGTTTTCAAGATAAGGGCAGCTACCGCTGGCAAAAACCTACAAGAATGTATGGGGGGGACAAAAGATGGAAGACAAGGACCGTGTTAGTGTGCTGTGGTATGAGCTGACGGAGAGGCACAGTAGGCTCACTATGAAGGCTGCAGGATGCTGCTGCGTTTGTCCAGCTGCTCTTATTGAGTACAGATGGCCCAATAAAACAAAGTGTTTTGAAACAGGTTAAGATGGACGCCCGATGAACAAGAGTCCCAGCGTTAGAATCCTCTCACCAGCCAACAAACCTCACTGTGTGCACCAGAACAATGACTAGTCTCTGGGTTGAGTTAGATGAGTTGTGCAGTCATTAACATCCACTGATAGCCAAGTTGGCAGAGCTCTGTGAAGGAACAGGAAGTGAAAGAGAGAATCATGTTGGACCTGATTCAGTTCCTCTCCGGCTGTTTCTCAGAAGTCCGTGTTAATGCTTCTGAATTTGTTAACCAATAGAGAGAGGCGACAGAGGACAGTGACAAAAACTGAAAAAAGAAGTCAATATCTATGTTGAATATCTAACAACTCTTCCTCTCTGGTTACAGACTGTTTCTCTCTTTTTCATGCTTCATGCTGATCATGGAAGAGACTTTGTTAAAGCTGCTCTCACCAACCAAACCCAGGGCCAGCACTTCTGTTCCACACATCATTCAGTGATGGGCGTGTCTCTGTGGCTGTGTCTGTGCATGTGTTCTGATTTATCTCACCTTAGCCAACATCAAAGTGAATTCATCTCTCAGTTCATTTATCTATCACAGTTGCACCAGTTGTATTGAAACAAAGTTGCAAAGGAATACTAATCTAGAACTCCATCGTTTTCCTCTACTATGCATTTTTGAATTCATCTAAATCTTGTTTTTAAAACTGTTTTATGAATCCCAAAAGGTTGGAACGGTGCCCCTACTGTTTACAGAGAAAGAGAGCAGAACTCTGTAACATGCTCAGTTACTCCCAACCAGAAGAAACAACTTTATGTATTGTTAAGTAAATTCATTATCAAAATGTGGTTTGCGTAATTAATCAGACAAATGCCACTTTAGATTGTTGAAAAGCATATTTTGCATATTTGAAATCTCCCATAAGTATCTGAAGGATGATTGTGAAGTCCTTCTTCGTCTCCTCCGGGCCGGCCACTGCTCTGCTTGCTCCTATCACTCGATGGATTCTCTCGTGTCTTTCATTGCTGTCTACTGCAGCACTTGATATTAAAACCTGCGATTCTTTTATATATTCTCTGTCAACATGGCACATGTAAGTCCTATATTCACTCTCCTTTCAGCTCTGGTTTGGCCTCAACCAACTCTTCTCAAGAGAAATATGTCTTTAGCTGCTAAAGGCTCCATATGCTCACCAGCTAGTCTTTAACTGTCAGCTGTTTGCTGCTGGGCAGGTACTGGAAGGGTTAATCAAGTCTTTCTATTGAACAGCTGCGAGCTGTTGACAAAGACTACATTATGAAAGCGGTGAGAGTCAGAAACACATAAGAGAGTCAAAACAGTCTCCTGGTCTGAAAGTCGTCTGTTTGAGACATCCACCACCGACACTGTCTCGCTTGTTATACTCTTTATTATACCACTTAACCTTTAATAACGTCATTATACCATGAAACCTTCAGTAACGGTTGCTCGGTATACAACGTTACGTGCTCTGTTTTACATCACTTGCTCTGATCGAATGCAGAAACGCTGACATTCAACGTAAGCGTCGTTTGCAGAAATGTGCAATGACAGACTCTTTTCCTGCCCACTGGGGTGCTGCATGCTGGCACTGAATGCACTTTCCTGCTGTGTTCTCAACACATGGATGTGGAAACAGGATGATGACTATAGTGCCTGGGCGTGGGAGTTCTTAAGAACACCCATACCCCTTTCTGAAACAATACTTAACGGTGGCTCTTTCTTTGTTGAATTGTGTAACAGGGTGTATTATTATTAATGTACAGATCATGCTGAGTTAGTTTGCTCCGTATATATAAAAGAGTTTGTACTGAACCGCCTTCCGCACACCTTTTGGTTGCCTTTAAGCCGACTTCCACACTCAGAATTCAGCACAGGAATAGACTGGGTTCACCCAACCAGAATATCGGTGCTCTCACCGATAGTCCGGGTGTTATGAAATGGTGTTGCATGAGGTAGTTATCCAGAGTCAGTGTAGGCTACTACTACCTACTGTAGATGGCAGTCGGCACGCCCCCATTTTGGAGGAAAAGGCCGGAGTACAGACACTAGAGCTCAGCAGTTTGGTGCTGTGGACAGGGAGAGCAGCGAAGCGTAAAGAAAGTCAAGAATGAAATATCCGTTTACGCTATCTATATTATTACTGCTTTATCTTGCTGTCAAACCACCTTTCTGAAGGGGAACTGAACTGATGCCGGAAAATATTTGATATATACTGTACACTTATATAGCTGGGTCTTACTTTTAGGTGGCTAAAATACCTTTTGCTGCTGTCCCCGTCCACAGCAGACGTGACACTGCTCCCATAGTGGTTGCATGCCTACCTCGGTCTACTGTAGGTACACAGACTATGTCTGCTAATGCTTTTCAGACACGATGGTAACAGCAGGCTGTGAGACTTTGTGCTAAAGCTCCTGTTGGCGCACATCACACAGGCTTAAAACGCCTGGAACATTCTGCCAAAGAATGGGTTGAAATGAGATCACTGGGTTTTGTGGGTTTGACATCCCTCTCTGGTGTTAGAGCTTCAGCTTCCCTTTCTTTCTCTTGTTCTCCCTGGATCTTCATAACAGCACCTTAAGTACTTGCATTAGGGAATGCACTTAATCAAATGTAAATGTGCCTTTAGATGATCTGCATCTCTATGGTCTTTGACATATTCGGCAGCTCATTGCTGAATCATGTAGTGTTTAAGGAAAAGTATTTGGAAATTGCTGCAAAGGTTTGATTTGTATATAATTTGGATTATTATGAAAAGACGATGTGGAGTGTTTCTTTTGTCCACTAACTTTGACCTTGTGTATAGTCTGAGATAATAAAAGGTTTTTATAAACTGGTTTTGTGGTTGTGTTGTGTTGAAATCGTATTTCTCTAAATCTTTCCATCATGGTCGACGTGAGATTCTCCTTTCTTTTTTTAGCTTCGTTGCCAAAGCTCCCGTTGCTAAGAATCCCGCAGTGCTGCAAAGTAAGCACTGCGTTCAACAAGAGTTCAACACATTCTCATTCCAACCTCTTCCAATAGGCTTGGTCAGTGACTCATCGGAGACCAACAGTAGGTACCTCTCTTTTCAAGGTGTGGTAGGTGTGTGAATATGCGCTCGTTTCATGCGTAGTGTCCTTTCAAAATAAACTCCCATCTTCACAGGAAGTTAGACTTAGACAACAAAACCACTAAGCTAGGTCTAGGAAAAGATTGATATGGTAGATATAGTAGTAGTAGTAGTAGATATAGAGTAAGATTACTGTAGCTTTAAGAGCTAAGTTTTAAAGTTAAATGGTCTTGGAAAAAAATGAAAAGATTGATTTATAGATTGCAGTTACCTTTACACACTAGTGACTCATATCACTAGTGTCTGTCCAACGAGTCACGTGACCGACTCACGTGAGTCACATGAATATTAACACTAATGACTCGTGACTAATGACTGTTGTGACAGAATTTGAACATATGACTAGTTAATTAGTGCCAAATGCACTAGTGTTATTCAAACATGTTGTTCGGATCGTAAGCCTCGTACCGAACGGTTTAATACGAATACGTATGTTGTTACAGCCCTAGAAATGAATAATAACCGTAGCTGTGGCGCCATAATGAGGTTATAAGGTGGTGTTTTAGCTGCAGGACAGCAGTGAAGGCCCAGGTATAAAATGCACGGCCCGCCACTGGGTTTAGGCAACAAAACCACTGAGTTGGGCTCAAAATAAGTACGTAAATTAAGTAAAACTTAAACAACATAACATGAGTACGGAAAACACATGACAAACATCACTAATGTAATTCTAAAATAACTCAACGACACTTTAGATAACTGGTTAAAAGCTCGTTAAAGCTCTATGCTGTTTGAACCATCCACCTACTTGCCCATCGGCCATTAGTAGTCTTTCTCTCTTTTTATAGTACGTCACTTGCTCTGAGCAGAGCAGATTCACACATTCACATTACAGGAAGTAAAGACTACATGGCATAAAATGACATATAAAAAGCAAGACTGGCATTGTTAATAAATGCTAAATGACTTGCAAATTATTGGGCTGTAAGATGCTATTAAGTATCCCAGAAGAATGAGGATGTCAATGTATCATTGACTTCTCATAGACTTTGTAGGTGAATAGCTCATGTGATGGCTTTGCAGAAAGCCACGGAGAACTGTCATGAGTTTGTACCTTTACTTTGAACGCCCTCTAGTGGCCTCTGAACCAGTTAAAGATTAAAATACACACTGGCTCAGACTGGAAGATACAGAGAGATATTTGGTAAGTGCACTCATGCAGTAGAAATGTGTTGCCATCGAATAAAATCATTTTCGATTTTGTTAAATGACAACTACACTGACCTGCTGAGGGTTAATATAAGATAACTAGAAAAGCATTTCTAGGAAGAAGAAACACAAGGAGGAACATATCTATGAAATAGAGCAGAGGTGTCAAACTCATCTTCACTCCGGGCCACATCAGCATCATGGTCGCCCTCAAAGGGCCGGTTGTAACTGTAAGACTGTATAACTGTAACGACTCCCTAACATATTGTTAACTAACTCTCTCTGCTTTTGATTATTGTTTATTCAAGTGTAAAAATATTGTACATGCAGTTATATAAATGTAAAATTATATTTAAGCACATTTCTGTTATTATAAATAAATAATAAATAATTTTAATTTAGGGTTAAGAAACCCACATTACTCTATCAAAGATGAAACTATTAAAGAAAATAACAAAGACAAATATCATCAAACACAAGTTATTACATTAACTTTGTTCAAAGCTATTTGTGTCACCTCTCTGCATCACTAATGTCCCTGCCGTCGTCCCGTGCATGGCAGCTACATCCAAGAGCTCCTCACAGAGTCAGGTCTGCCTTCAGCCTCTTACAAACACTGATAGATGATGTATCTCGTCTCTGAGCTAGCTGTGTTGTTAGATTGCTGCTAGTTCCTGAACTCGGTCTGCGATGGTGTTTCTTCACAAACTGACATTTGTAAAAGTCTGTATCTGGTCGGAGCTCACCTGCTCACATACCTTTAGCATGCACTGGGCTGTAGCTTCTGTAAATATATTCTGCTGTGATTGCACTCTGCCTTTTAATTCTTGGACAATTTGATGTTTTTCTTGGAGGCTAAATTTAGCTCCGTGTTTGGTGTCAAAATGCCGACGTGAATTATATTCCTTCATCACCGACACGCATCATAACACAGAAGACAGACCCGTTTTTCTCCCTGAAGCACAGACATGTATTCACTTTCCCATCTTAAATTACATGTTCTTCCCTCTGCATCCATTTTTCTCTTCGTGGACATTTTGGGATTATTTGTCGATCTTTTTCAACTCAATCACTTGTTGGAAAACCTCTTTACGGGCTGTTCCCTCTCCTCTCCACCTGTTGTGATAGTTTTAATGTCGGTACACAGACAACATGCTATCTCAGAATTTCAACTTTCTATCTCATAATTTCAATTTTCTATCTCATAATTT